GGGGGCTGCCCCCCCCAGCCCTGCTCCCCATCCTCCCGTTGCCATGGCGATGGCTGGCACCGTCCCTGGGGATATTTTTAGCTGCTGGTGCTGCAGGGAAGGGGTGGGTGGGCAGCCCAAGCCCATGGCTGTGACACGTGTGTGCACACGCGTGTGTCTGCAGTACACTCCTGTGCACACCTGTGTGTGTGTGTGTATCCAGGTGGGTACCTGTGTCTCTACACAGGTGTGTGCACCCTGCCCATGCATGTCTGTGTCTGCACACGGGAGCACACACGTGTCTGTGCACGCACCTCTGATCACACACGTGCAGGCACACACGTGTGCACACCTGTGTGTGTTTGCACCCATGCACAGATACCTGCGTGCACCCTGTCCATGGGCCTCTGCCTGCACACAGGAGCACACGTGTGTCTGCGTGCGTGTGCACACGTGTGCAGGAACACGCACACTCCCGGCGCATCTACAGATGTGTCTGGGTGCACACGTGGCCCTGGGCGCACACACACGCGTGGGGGAGGGAAGGCAGCTCACACACGCGTGCCTGTGTGCACGCCTGCCCTCCCACACGTGGGTGTCCGTTTGCACACTCATCCAGTTACACCCTGTCTTGCACCCCCTTGTTTGCCAATCCCGGGTTTGCACACTCACTCCTGTGTTTGCACACTCACCCGCACGTTTGCACAACCCCCTCCGTTTTCACACCCACACCTCCGTGTTTGCCCCCTCCCAGTTTTCACACCCACCCTCCTGTTTTCTCCCTCCCCCCGCCTGCACAGTCACCCCCCGTTTTCACACTCACCCCGTTTGCACAACCCAGTTTTTCACACTCAAACCCCGCTCCACCCACCTTGTTTTCACACACTCCGTGTCTGCACATCCCACCCGTATTTGCACACTCACTCCTGCTATTTCCACCCCCGTCCCATTTCCACCCCCATGTCCTTCGCCCCAGCCGCCTCTCGAACTACAACTCCCATCACCCCCCCGCCCGGGCCTGCCCTGCTGGCCTCGCAGGACGCGCGGCGCTTGTTGGCAAGGTGCCGCCAATGGCGGTGCCAGCGCGCTAAGGAGGCGCTCGGAGGCGCGGGACAACGGTAGGGCGCGAGGGGGAGCGCGGGAGAACTGCGGGCTCACTGGGGCGGTCTTCCGAGCGTCCCGCGCGGAGCACCCCCGGCCCGGGGAAGAGGGGCGGGCCCCTCGCCCGTGCTCCCGGAGGCCGCTGGGCCGCGCTCCCCGCCGGCCCAACTGCCCCTGGCGTGGACGAACACGCGGAGCGACAAAAGCTCGTCACTAGGGTTGAGAGAGATGTCACAGGACCCTTCCCGGTGGGGGAGAGGGCTCCGTCCCCCCTGAGCTCTCCGTCCGCAGGGCGACCATGAAGGTGGTGAACCTGAAGCAGGCCATCCTTCAGGCCTGGAAGGAGCGATGGAGCGACTACCAATGGGCCATAAACATGAAGCGGTTCTTCCCCCGCGGAGCTACCTGGGACATCCTCAACCTGGCAGGTCCGGGGGGCTGGGGGGCTTTCCCCTCCTCACTGGGCACACAGAGGTGTTCTGGGGGTGGGTTTTGGGGTGTCAACCCTCTGGGCTGCAGACAAGGGTGTTTTGGAGGTCCCTGTTGCATTTTGGGCCCCTCCACCCCCTTCCCACACTACTTTTCATGCCAAAATGCTCTTTCCCAACCCCTTTAGCCCATTCCTGAGTGTTCCCCCAGCCCTTTGGATCCATTTTGGGGTCATTCCCCTCCTTTTTCCCCCTGTGAGGGTTCAGGAGTCCATGCAGCCTGGCTTTTGGGACTGAGTTTTGCCAGGAGGGAATTAGACTGGATATTAGGGGAGATTTCTTTGTGGAAAAGGTGGTCAGGCATTGGAACAGGCTGTGGTGGAGTCACCATCCCTAGAAGGGTTCAGAAAGATGTGGATGTGGCACTTGGGGGCACGGACTAGTGGTGACATGGCAGTGCTGGGTTAAAGGTTGGACTCGGTGATGCTCGAGGTCTTTCCAGCCTTAATGATTCCCTGATTCCCTGGTTCTTTCCCTGCACAGGAGCCAGCTGCTGCTCCCAAGGCTGCTTCCCACCCTGGCTGGGGGGGGTTCCTTTTCCCAGTCCAGTTCAAGGGCATTTCACACAAATCCTGCCAAAGGCTGGGACCTTTGGTTTAAAGATTTGCCAGGCTCTCCTGCTAATTATAGAAATTTGGTGCTGGGATTTTCCATGTGCAGCACGTCCCTGGATAAATAAACAGAGCCAGGGATTGCTGCTCTGGGGGGTTTAAAGGGAACCAGCCCCACACAGGCAGCAGATCTTATGCTTCCAAGGGGGAAATCTTTCCCCAGTGGATATTTTTCCCCTCTCTCCACCCTCCCAGTGGATTTTCTGACAGTGTCTGGGTTTTGTCACACCCTGAGCTGCTCTGGCTGGGTTTGTCCCCTCTGATGTGGGGCTGGAGGGGCCGAGCAGGAGCTGTGGCTGTGGGGAGATGGATTTGCTTTGGATGGATTTGCTGGGTGTGGGGGTGGTTGGCTGGAGGGCCATTCCTGCTGCTGCCCAGCTGGTCCCTGGGGCTCCCTGGTGCCTGTTCCCACCCTGGTGGCACCAGCTCCTGCTCCGCTGGCAGCAGGACCTGTGGGGTGCTTGGCATGGGCTCGTCTGCGTATCCCCAAAAACAGGGCTAGAGATGGTAATTCCCTATGATTTCTGTAGGAACAGGTTTCTCCTGGCCCACACTCAGCCAGAAGAAGGCTCAGCAGCCCAGGCTTTGTTGGGGGCAGCCCATATGCCAGGAGGGGAAGGAGCCATGTCCCCTTTTCCTTTTGGGAGCCCCAAAGGCAGGATGCCAACCCCGACTCCGAGCACACAGGGAGAGCCTATTCCCGAGGCCCCCATGGCTGGAACAGCAGCTCCCTTCCTCACCACAGTGCCCGAAGCTGTCCTTCCCTAAGCTTGTGCCTTTCAGCTTTGGAAGTACAAAGGAGGGAAAGCTGGCACGGGCTGCCGGGCTCACGGCAGGGCCGGCAGATCGCTGCTGACACGTCTGCAGCGGGGGAGCAGCATCGTGGCTGGCTCGAACTCTGGCTGGGCTGGGGAGGGGACGGCTGCCACCACCTTCTGTCCTCATCCCAGACGCTCTTGGCCCAGGTCTGAGCCTTGGAGCGAGACCCAGGGAGTCTCCTGCTCCCGCGCTCGGGATCCGCCGGCGGCTCCTCCTCGGCTTTGGGGCGACAACTTCCCACCCGGCTGCTGCTCCCCCTTTTACATCTGGGTGCTCTGACCTACTTGCAGCCCGAGCCACAGCCCGGGGCCTGCTCGGGGAGGTGCTTCCTGCGCTCTGCCATGGCTCAAATGGGCAATTAAAGGCTTGGCTGAGCAGATGGGACGGGCAGAGCCCCTCGGGCCACCGAGGGCCAGACGGGCAGGGCCGGGCCCAGCGCAGGGGACTGGCAGCCCCGAGCTCAGCCCCGGGTGCCCGCGCAAAAGCCACTCGGTGGAGGCTGCGGGGCAGGAGGTGGGAGGGAGGGGAATGTGTTCGGAGAGCAGCAGGCGCAGTTTTGGGGCCAGAGTGCCTGGGAGAGCTGAGTTAGCAGGAGGCTAAGCCTGAATTATTCACTGGCTTGTGCCATCGGGGATTAGAAAGTTGTGGGATTCGGTGAATTTTGGGGAAAAGTGGTGCGGAGTCACTGTGGTTGGCACAGTTGGGCTTTGCCAGCTTCACTCTGGGGTGAGGGCAGAGCAGTGTGTCTGTGTGTACCTGTGTCCCCACATGCTGACCTGGGACCCCCCGGCCCCTCTCTTTCCTTGCAGAGGCTCTCCTGGAACAGGCCATGATCGGGCCATCCCCAAACCCACTCATCTTGTCCTACTTGAAATATGCCATCAGCTCCCAGGTAAGGACCTACTGGCACTACTGTGGGACACCTCCCAGCCCCAGCGAGGTTAACAAAGAAACTGGGATGCTGGTGGTGGGCAGACACCCCAAATTCCCCATCTGAGCCTGTCCTGGGCTGGGCAGACACCCCAAGTCCCCCACCTGAGCCTTTCCAGAGCTGGGGCGGGTGGAGGAGGGCTCAGCGCGTGCCCCAGGCAGGGATGTTTCCATAAATAGCCTCTGCCACCGCCCGGGGTGGGAATTCTGCCCCCCGAGAGCCTCCGCACTCG